ATTTTCTTCCATCGAACACTTAACAAACAGTAGGATTTTGCAAACACAATTGAAGAACCAGCAAGTTTGGTTTTGGGGTTTTTATTCTCTTGTTTTTTATGTGAAACATTTTGAATGTTACAACCTTAAAAGAAAGTTTGGTTATGACTGATAATATGTACAATACTTCAGATGTACAAACCCAAGACCACACTAGTGCAACAAAGTCAACACAGGTCGAGTGTCTTGCAAAATCTATGATATAAGACGTTTTAGATTATACATGGAATTCATTAGCTAATGAAAGCAAAAGATGAAAGGGATTATGTTTAGTAAAAAACTCTATTTTAACATTTTAAATAGTAATAGTCAAAAAGGCAACAAAATGTCGGCACAGTAAAAGCATGACAAAGAAGTAGTAACACAGTAATACAAATAATGAGAATGAAAAGTGAAACATCTAAAAGTTTGCAGAAATCTTGACGAAATCATGTTTCAGGTCCACGACGTGCATCTCGATTCTTTTGTGTAAATCATCCATTGACGTGGACACGGCGTCATACAGAGCCTGGACAGAGAGAAAAGAGACATGTTCGCCTCAGACCACGACAGGAAGAAAAGATAAACAGTGAGGTAAACTGTCGTCCTGAGTGTACCTGAGCTTTCTCCGTCTCTTTGCTGCACACGTCTCTCAGACTCTGGATCTTGGTCTTCAGCTGCAGCGTCTCTCTGGTGATCTCTTGGATTTTGTCGGCCATCTCCTCACGCTTCTGATGGATTTGGTTACACTGCCTGGTGAACAGGTAAGTTTAGGTTTTAAAGACTTTATTTTACAGAGCAAGGTTCTGAAATTCGATTTTTTACTGACTATTGTGTCAAGAGTGCGTTTCATACCCCAGAATGTCTTGAACGTGCTGCTCCTTCATCTCTTTCTTCATCTGTCTCCGGATGTTCTGTTTGGACTCCTTGTCCAGCTTCATGCTCTGAGCTCTCTTCAGCTGGGCCTCCTCCACACACAGGTTCTTCAGCTCCTTCTGCTTCTTCTCATACTGAGCAGTCAGCTCCTGGTACTGCACAAGCACAGATGCAAGACAGAATCACGACAACTGGGAACATGCTTCACTGGATAAATTACGAGGACTAATGCTTTAGCTAAAGTTAACTCTTCAATGGAGTGTGGTGAGCTGAGAGCTAAGAAGCTGAAACTCCTGAGAATTAGTGAAGGAGCTGATGGAAACACTCAAAAGTTTGATACAGGGAGAAATGACTGTCTTTACAAGTCATGTATGGTACGGCCAAATGTAAACATCTGCTTGAGCAAGTTGCTGCTGTGAGCTGCATCATAATCATCATCACTACTATCTGACATCAGCTGACTCACCATCATTCACTTCATGTTTTTAGCCTAAATGTCTTCTACCAGAAGTAGCGATGCTACTGCACACCCCACGTGTACCCTTGGGTGACAGCTTGTGTGTGTGTGTGTGTGTGTGTGTGTGTGTGTGTGTGTGTGTGTGT